TGATATCCCGAGTGATGCTTGCAGGTTATCAGTCAACACTTCCAGTGTGACGGCTCGTGTCACTCTTAAGAGCTGGTCCAGACAAGTGCGAGTGTCGGGGGGTTAGAGTAGTGAATCAGGTGTTGACCAGACCACACACTAGAAGGTGAAGGGACGACGACGTTTCGGTCCGTCCTGGACCATTCACAATCGACTTGAGAATGGTCCGAAACCGAAACGTCGTCGTCCCTTCACCTTCTAGTGTGTGGTCTGGTCAACATAATTTAGCCACGTTATTGTGACTCCTCGCCTGCATAGTGAATCAGGTGTACACCTCAGTCCTATCACAGCGGTCCCGTGACCACCTCTCAAGCTGGGCACCAATCACCAGTGTCACCATAAGGCAGTGCGCACGTTGGAGATAGTCACGAGTGAAACCTTTTGTGCTTATTTTACTACGATAAAATTTAACATTAAACACCGATTTGTTTCAAATAGTTATGCTGTGTGACGTAGAATATACCAGAAAGGTGAAGCTAGGAGGGAACAGAAGAAAACTCCATCGATGTAGAAAAAGAATGGACCGCGAACTCCGCGAAGAAAAACAAGCAATTTAGCGACATAAAAATGTTGAGCTGGACATAAATTGGCGCCAATTATGAGCTCCCGCTCGATCTGGCGGGAAAGTTGTTAAAGGAAATTGTTCCCTTGATATTATTTGGTATTTTTAGTCTTGTTTCAGGTCTGAAATAAATGATTGGCAACTTGGTTTCAGACATTGCAACAATATTGAACATTTGTCATAACATGTAGACAAATTACGTTGCTAAATATATGAATTGAATAAAATATGAAATTTTAGCAAATACCCTCTGTACAGTTGCATAATTGTTTTTACCTAACCGTACTTCCAAGGATCAAGGTACATTTCATTCCCAAATGTATTCTACTTTGCCCTGGTACTGAAGAACCAGAATGAGGCCCAAAGATGTATACATGAAGGTACAAGATGTATACATCAATGTATACATATTTGGTGCTCATTCTGGTGCTAAACGTTCATTTGTTCCCTCTGGTTAAGCCTCAACATAAGTACTGAAAATGGTTAAATTTTAGTTTCAATTTGAACCAGGAATGAACAAGCCGTTAATGAAGGTGTTTATGTATTCCATGCTGGTATCTTGACACTTCCCTCTCTTCCCTGACCCCTGGCATCACTCGACTCTGTACCTAGCCTCCCTACCTCTTTCCCACAGCTATATTGAGTTCTCAAATGACCCACAATTGCATTAGAAGTTTTTTCTGAATGCTTAAAGCTCTTTCTAGTTTTTGAATCTTACTGAAAATGCTTCATTGATGCACGGAGAATATACACACACATTGACCTGACAAATAGGCAAAGAATGTTCTTATCGACAAAACCATAGTGTGCCATTGTATTTGACAACGCTACACGGTATGGAATAATTATAATTGTGTGTCTGGCGACGGCTGCAGCAGGAAAGAACGTGGTCTTAGGGCGGATTGGTGTCTCAGCCTGCTTGATACCTGCTTGATGGGGTTCTGGGAGTTGTTCTACTCCCCAGCCTGTCGTCATCCACCTTGTCGGTGCCTCAAGGTATCTAGTATGCTGTGAACGTACTCGTCTTGTGTTCATTTTTCTTCTTTCCGGAAGAGATTTCTTCCTTACAGTCTGTCTACGTAACGCTGGACCTTTATCTCGTGGTTCTGGCCTATTGCCACATCTCGATATCAATGGATTTAAGATGTTTGTGGACATTTAAGCTGCTGTTTGCCTGAATGGAGCTTCAACTAGATTACACCAGCAAGCAGGTTTCCCATTGCCTGGGTTGTCTTACAGCTGTACCCCACACACGCGTGTGAATGCATGGCAAGTTGCATCTTTCCAGTTCCCTGATGGCCCAGTAGTTTGTAGTATCTCCGTGGCTCATTTGAACCTTCGTGCCTGTCTGCATTTCTTCTGCCTGGTCCCAGAGTCCGTGCAAACTCTACCTCTCGGTAAAGAGAGAATTTCCTCTACGACGACCCGGGGAGCAATAGTGAGGGACTTGTCGAGCCTTTCCTCCGACCACAAGATAAGATACACAGGCTACGTGTGCCTTACTCTAATGTACTTAATAAAGCTAATGTGCGGCGCCTATGACGTCACGGAGCTTAGCAAGCAGTTTCACTCTCGCGGTGTCTTAGATTCTCCTGAATTATTTGTACTTGAGAGGTCATACGACTCTTCATACCCCCCTTTCAGTGACTATACACTGCCAGTTATAGTGACTGAGTGTTCAACACTGGAGTGTTGTACACTGTGAGGGTGTCCACAGCTCTCCACCAGTTAGGCTTATTATATATTGTCCTGTCTTGTTTAAATAGTGCGTGAATTTTAATTAAAAACTAATTACAACATGAATGAGTTCATTCACTCCCCGGCAAGTTCTAGCGTCGCTCTGCAACTTCTCCATTATTTTTTGTCCATGTTCATGACTACCAATTAAGCAAGGTTTCTTCAACTTGCAAGACGTTTCCTCGTGTGAGCTGTATATTACAGTTTATTCAGACGAATTCTATTTTTTGGCTTGCCAGTAGTCTGTTAAATCGAAGAATTCTCTTCGTCATTAAAAAGTTATTTCCTTGTTGTGAGGAAGACGTGGCTGGAGTAGTGGGTCGGGCTGAATATTACGTGACATACGTGATCACGTCATCACGTGGGAGAGAGCAGAAAGGGTTTGGCAACACTTCAGTCAATGACGGCTCTACCTTAAGTTTGTAGGTTGTGAATCTGCCCTTTGCAATAACAGGTAAATTGACTAAAAAAAAAATAAATAGCTCAGCAGTCTACGGCCTAAACTCGCGTTAAAGGATTACTGGTTCAATCCCCGGGGTGGACAGAAATGGTTGGGTAAGATTCTTTTCACCTGATGCCTCTGTCGGTAAATAGGTACCCTGGGAACTCTGCAACTGTTGCGTGTTGCATCCTGGGAAGGTTCGGGTGTTGGCAGAGGTCAGTGGTTCCCAACCGGCGGCCCAGGGACCCCCAAGGTGTCTACGGAACACTTTAAGCAAGTGGGCCTTACTGTGAGCGTACAATACATGGTATAACAAATAAACAAATCCACAAGGGCCGTGACGAGGATTCGAACCTACATCCGAGAGCATCCCAAACGCTGCCTTAATCGACTGCAGTCGATTGTGGTCAGGTGAACCTGTGATGGTTAATCGACTGGCAGTAATAGACTGTCGTAGCTCTCTGGGATGCTCTCGGACGTAGGTTCGAATCCTCGTCACGGCCCTTGTGGATTTGTTCATTTGACGCATAACGCTATTGTGATTTCTGTGTAATGGTATAACTACTCAAGTGCGTTGAAGCGAATGTCTCCTGTTATCATTCACGTGCAGATTTAAGAGAACAACGGAGAACTTGACGTGTCTGTGCTGCAACAAATACATACAACTGTCTGTTCTGGTAGCGCTATATCTTCTGGTAGGAGCCGTGAAGATGATTCGAACCTATGCTCTGGGTACTCTCAAGCACACGCCTTGGACCACTACACCCACGACAGGGTCGGAAGCAATGCAACCTGGAATTCAGTCTAATCTTTTAGGGTTTGAGGCTTCAATTGAAGCCAAGTCGGGGAGACTAGGCATAGGAACCCAATCTTTTCAACTTAATCTGGTGCAGAGCCCGAGGGTCTCTTGTTTTGACTGAAGCCCATGTGGTTACTGGAGCCTCTTGACATTTATGGTGGTCAGGTGAATCCGATTTGTGGCCAGGTGAACCTGTGATGGTGATTGTGGTCAGGTGAACCCGTGATTGTGGAGCATGGGTGACAGAGGGGGCAGCTGTGCCCGCCTCCCGTCGTATATCGGGAAGTGTACGTGACAACAGTAACATGCCTCATGTTGGCACGGGTTCATTTTCTGTAGCCTAGTGTGACACAGATGGTTTGGGAGGAGGGGGGTAGTGGTGTGACGTGCGTGGTGGTGGGGGTCAGGGAGACGAGAGCACAGTGCGCGCGCTCTCCTAGTTTGTGCTTGCAGTACGGACTTCAGCTACTGGGCCTCCTGCTAGTATGTCCGCCTATTAAATATGGCTTTGATCCCTCTTTATTTAAACATCAGATATAAGCTGTTTAAATGCTTCAGTGTTCCTGTATTGCAAGGAGGGAGAGATGACGAGATACCACCACCTTGATAAACAGACGGATTCACGCATGCCAGTACTCAATAAATTAAGATGTTAAAACTAGAGACATCAGTGCTCCCTTTTCTCGGTGATTGTAAACAATGACAGCTTTAAAATAACAACTAGCTCAGATTCCTGCAGGAAACGCCAAAATGAAACACAGGAATGAAAACGGGAAACACTATTTACTTTTGTATTGCTAAGGAGATGTTCGGGGCAAGATGCCTTATTCCTGTTATGTGCTCGAAATATTTAATCGAACAATGGGTGGGGCTTAAAATTACCCTTACTGTGGAGTACAGCATCTTGCATCTGTAACTTAAGTTCAGAGGCGATGGTGTGTGCACAAGGATTAAGGAAACTGCTGAAGGCCCATTTGAAGCGATTCCGATTTATATTTACCCAGATGTCTAACTTACCCGTTTAAGTGTTAGATAACGAGACGTGCAGGGCTTAAGGAAGTTAATTTGTGTGAGTGATGGAGACGAAGGTGGCAGTCAGAGAGTAGCACCAGAGTACACTGGTATACTAAAAGCCTAACCTTAATTACAACATGAGGAATAGTAGGATTTTCATACAAGCCTAACGTGTGTGAATACTCTGGCTTCTTGTCCCCCGACACGTGAAGTATTATAATACAGCGTGCAGAGCCATGATAATTACATTAATACCTAAGACACCAATAACTTGGCGTATCCTGCAAATCATATATAACCTCTTTAAGAGGTTACTTGTCATGTTAGAATCATGGTGTCGGTGTTCTTTCTCGGGACGTGCATCTCCGGCCCACTAATCACCCCCCCTCTTCTCCCTCCCTCCACAGGTCTCGCGATGGAAGGGTCGCCGGGGCCTTCGCCATTGTCGTCGTCGTCGTCTGGAATGTCCTCACTGCCTTGCTCGCCGGTGGAGGAGGAGCGGCCAAGCTCCTCCCTCAGTACAGCTTCCCGCTCCTCAAGGATACCTCGCCTCACCCGCTCCGCCTCCCTCAGGATAAAGTCCTCCACCTGTAAGGCTGCCTTCAGCAGCAGCACGCCCGAGACGAAAGCGGAGGGGAAGAACAGCAGCGACTCGCGACCTAGCTCCCGGACAGCTTCTAAAGGCATCACCAGGTGAGCCATCCGCTGAAATCCTAGGACGAAGCCCAACTTCGCCTGTGGTAAATAGCTGTATATTATTGTAACTTAGTTGCTGTGTGTGCTTGAACGTTCACCTGTTGTCTAATTACACTTCACAGGATGATTTTGGGGGGACATAATATAGGCATAAAACTTTCTTTCAGTCCATGCCAGTGGTGGTGGTGTTGCTAGTAAATAGGAGATTGTAACTAAGGGAAAGTCTTCTGAATGGATGTTATGTGAGTAGGTATACTGCCTGTTCATCAATAATTACTCCTGAATACAAGGGCCCAGTCATTGTCGGCAGGGAAGCAATTGGCAACAAGGAAATTACAGATTGTTTGAATAACAATTTAAGTTGTAAATTAATACCAAAAATTACTTTAATGCTTTAACTGTAACCATAGCAATAATTAGTTTACTTTATTTAGGTTTAATTGTAAACATGATTAAAGTGAAATAATTGATAGTATAAGGGAAATTATAGACGAGATGGCCAAATAATAGCAAACGTGAATTTGTAATTTAGGCTTGAAGCTTAATGGAAAAGTAAAGTTATGTAGTGGTAGACTCGTAAGCTTGATAAGTCAGTCAGTTAGGCCCCTTTTGTTCTTTTAAACTGATAGGCGTAGTACACAATTGCTGTTGTGGGAGGCTGTTCCACAATAAAGGACCTATTATTAGTAGACAATTTTGTGGGTAAAGTCAAACTGGGAACATAGATACAGGTATGTTTTTCTTGTTGCATTTGTTCCGTTGTCGCTCACTTCGTGGCCGAAGAACTGTTATGTTAACCTCAAGACAGGGTCACAAGTTTATCATGATCATTTCGGGGCTTTAGTGTCCCCGCGGCCCGGTCCTCGACCAGGCCTCCACCCCCAGGAAGTAGCCCGTGACAGCTGACTAACTCCCAGGTACCTATTTACTGCTAGGTAACAGGAGCATCAGAGTGAAAGAAACTGTGCCCATTGTTTCTCACCGGCGCCCGGGATCCAACCCGGAACCACAGGATCACGCGTCCAGTGTGCTGTCCGCTCGGCCGACCGCCTCCCAACAATGTGATGCCAACATTAGCCACCCAAGATTTTACCCTAACCAAACTGGACTTGGAAGAAACCATAGGCAGTATGGCCACGCACTCCTCACCAGGACCCACACACCTGGAATTCTTTATCAAAAGAATTACATAGAAAAACCTGTCACGTGCTTTACAAGTCGTCTGGAGACTGAGCCTAGATAATGGCGTTTTCTCAGACCTGCTAAAACTGCGCAGATGGCTGTAAAGAAGACGCGAAAAGTTAGACTACCATATAACATTTTGTAGGCCTTCCGTATCATTTTTTGCAGTTGACACTACGATATTTTTTGGGCCACAGAAAACATTTAAAATAATTTCCAGCTCCTTCGAAACGGTAACAACGAAAACCTGAAAACTAACCCCACACTCAACGCTGTCAGATCACACAATAGAACCCCACACTCAACGCTGTCAGATCACACAATAAAACCCCACACTCAACGCTGTCAGATCACACAATAGAACCCCACACTCAACGCTGTCAGATCACACAATAGAAAGAAAGAGTAATATTTGTGAGTAATAATGTCGGAAGACTTTCGAAATTAAAGATCGCAATAAAATGGCTGTTAAATCTGCAAGAAAAATGACAGCTCGGATAAAAAGAACTTTTGGAACAATAGATGCAGAACAATGGTAAATTTTAAGACACCGGTGTTCTTTAGGGTTGAATATTATTGCATAATAACAGCTCCATTCAGACCTGGATAAATTGTTGACGTGGAGAACATGGAGATTCTTTACTGTCAGAATCCACGCAATAAAATATTTAAATTATTGGGACCTCCTTAAAATGGTTTAATTCTGTATTCCTTTAGCGCAGGCCAGAGAGAGGCATAATAATTTACACTTGGGAAAATATTATTGACTTTCATATCTGCACACGGAAATAATTCTATTAAAGGCCAGGAGGCATGGCAGGATGTGCAAATTAGTCCCTTTGAAAGCATATGTGCAATAGGTACGCCGATACACAATTCAATTACATAAAGGACCAATGACCTTTTGAACACTCCATCAGCACATAAGAAGCATAACTGGCCGACCTCTCGCGGTGTATAAAAAAAAACTTTACCACCACCTTCAAAGTATACTTGATCAACCGGGCTGTGTTTCATACATCAGACGTCATGCACCTAGAAAATTGAGGCTAGTTGTAAAGAATCAAACTTTAAACAAATTAACTATGAATATAACGTGCTTAGGGACATTGATATACGTATAATTTAAACCTGCACTTGTCCTTGTCTGAGGTAACTCGTCTCACTGACGTAATGTGTCCCCGAGCGTGGCTTGCACTGCTTGTGACTCCACAGTGGCGAGGTTCGGCTCTTATTGCGTAGAGGCGATCATGTCCTGCTTGGCGGGAAGTCGCCAGATATTGACGTACGTGTGTGTCCGTCCGTCCGTCCGTCCCGAGAGCGAGTAGACTGATCAGGTCTATTACCAGCACTTGGAACACAACCTTCTTGTGGGCGTTATTGCAGGCTCTTCGACCATCAAGAGAGCAGCTGTGTAATGTTACATAAAACTCTTGTATTTGAGTCTATATAAAGTAACTTCAGAGTTAAAACCTACATCAAGAAACATTATTCTAGCATTATTAAAAATCCTTAAATCTGTTCTCCAGTTGGAATATCTATAAATACGTACTATTTCAAAAGTACAAGTAATTATTTAAACACTTCTTCAATATGTTCGAAATTGAACTTGGAAAATCATATATTGCGCCAACACAGGTTGGTGCACGACTGGTTTCCATGATAGGAAATATCCTTTATTCAGTTGAAGTCCAGGAATCCCTGTGTGTGTGGTTGAAAAAGTTTCTTGATCTTTGTCCTTCTGTTCTGTCTTTCGTCTCCCTCCCTCCCTCTCTGCTGTCTCCTCCTTGACCTCCGTCTGCTGCGTCCTTCCGTCCCTCACCTTTAACGAACACTGTGTTTTCCCCCCAAGGGATTTGCGGGAGCATTAAGGTGGTGTGCGTCTAGCTGCTGCTGCTTGCTCTTCCTTATGACTCCTCCCCCACCCCCACTGGTGGGGACCTGTGGGGCCTCGTTAGCTGCTACCTTCCCTTCCTCCCCCACCCCCCCAACCCCATTAGAAGCTGGGGCCTCGTTAGCTTCCCTTCCCCCCACCCCGACCCCATGGGGGAGCTGTGGACCTTTTGGCTCTAGCCTACCTACGCTCAGTCTTTCGCATATTTTCCTTTACTGTCCTGACTAAACACCTTTTAGGAATAACATTTTCTGGTGGTACAAAGAGTGCAGGTTCAGGGCGATCCAAAGAACAGTTGTGTTAGTTGAGGACACGCTCTTGCAAATGGTTAGTTTCTTCCTGATGAAGATTAAGCCATCCAAAGGGGTGGCACGGGCATGAATAGCCCGTAAGTGGTGGCCCTTTTGAGCCATAACCAGTATCAGTAGTAGATACTGTAGATCTGTGGAGGTGCTACTGCACCCTACGTGACGGGAGATGTCTCCCAGTTTCTTCCTCTAGGGATAGTACTTATCTTGGACCACGTGGCCCAGTGCCCTCCGGTATGGCTTTAGAGTCGAGCCGAAATGTTAAACCTTAATGACAATTTATCAGCCCACCCACCCTGTTTAGGTAGTACTTTATGTAACTGAACCATCGTACGTACATAAACGTAATGGACAATTTGATAGAATTTGGTACTATTCCTCCTTGATCGGGTTCTGGGAGTTCTTCTCTCTAAGCCCGGCCCGAGGCCAGGCTTGACTTGTGAGAGTTTGGTCCAACAGGCTGTTGCTTGGAGCGGCCCGCAGGCCCACATACCCACCACTTTAGTCTGATAAAATAAAACAAACCAAACCTAAATATTACTAGGCCTAGGTTAGCATATATATGTACTCTATTAGGATTTGCGTATACTAGGCTTAGGAAGGTTTGGATAAGTTTTCTTGGAAACATAGTACAAAAACTCTCGTTTTGTCCAAATTCAATAGTACCGATTTCTTTCTAATTGCCTTTCACGTCAATATATGTAGGATGGTCCTCATCGTTTAAGTACTGTACTACCTAACCTAAACAGGAGGATGCGCTGATGGTAGTATAAAAGTGGCTATAATGGCCCTGTTGTAACGCTGTAGTGATATTTAATTTAATTGAATAGTTAATTGTTGTAAGATAAATTCAACGATATTAGGTGAACCTGTTGATTCAGACGATACAACTTTAAAACATTGAGAGAGTCTTAAAGCAGTTTCCTCCTGGCGGCCTTCCCCCGTTGACATACTAAGCTGGGGGTTGGTTGGGGTTTTAATGTTGACGTAGGAAGCGGCTAGTTATTGTGCACCCCATACTCATCTTGTGAGTGGTAGCGCAAAAAGGATTAGATGGCACAAAAGGTCTCTTTATCAGACCTCAACGGAGATTATGACATAACAATTTCGTCTATCCTTCACACCTTATATTGTCAGCTAGTTAGAAAATTTTATTTCACGAGCTATATATTTACAGTAAATAATTACACACTAATGGTAGTTGTTATCGCTAATACATAATTGTTTGAGCAATGGAGAAGTTAGTCATGGGAGAGCTGCTGCTGTTATTAGTCTTCACAACACACTACTTGTTTCATAATCTCACATGTCGTTTATCTACTGGAAGCGAAATATTGATAGTGCAAGGATTTCAGGTATTTTAACCTTAGTAATATGATGGTTTGCCATTTCATACAACGCGAGTTTACATTTTTCTCTAAATGACTCAATTTTACTACAATCCAAGATATAATGTTAGTGTGTGTGTCTTTGTAAACACACTTTACACTTCATCTAGATCCCTGTACAAGCCCAACTGCCAGATACCTGTTGCCAAGTCTTATTCGAGCTGTGACAACGTCTGTTGACGGTGTTACTTGCCCAATACATGTGTTTTACTTAACACATTTCATTGTGATTAAGAATGGACCTGATAGTGAGGCCTCATTCCCGCGTGAGTGTTGACATTGTGGAACTAATGTTAGAGTAACTGTCATGTCTTAAAATGACGATTCTTAAACCACGTCCGCACTGATGTTGGATGGGTGAGTTGTTACTACCAGGTGATTAGAGGGAGGGAGGAGGGGGGGGTGTTCGCCAAACAAACCCTCCATCGACCTGACCCACCTCCCTCCCTCCCTTCTGTGCTCCACAGATCTGCCAGCTTCGTCAGCTCGCGAGGGATGTGCGGCCGCGCCTCGCCACCGTCCACCAGCCACCACCCCTCCAGCGCCGCCTCCACACACAACGGGCCCTCCAGAGTGTACGGGCCCTCCCTCACCCCAGAGACGCCCCGCAGGGTCTCCCTCGCCGGGGCCGCCTACAGCAGGAGGACGAACTCCCTCTCAGAGAGGAAGACTCACGTGAGTGGCTCGTCTTACCCTGGGTTCTTGGTGTTGTGCGTCGTAGCGTAGAAAGCATGCACTAACATTACATTTGTAGATATGAACATTACATATATTGGAATAGATTTCAGGAAGGTGTGTCGGATATAATACAAATAATGCTCAGGATCTTGATTTTTTTTATAATTGCTGCTTAGAGTATTCCTACAGAGGGATCCTTGAGGTTATTTATCTTGATTTCGGGGCTTTTAGTGTCCCCGCGGCCCGGTCCTCGACCAGGCCTCCACCCCCAGGAAGCAGGCCGTGACAGCTGACTAACACCCAGGTACCTATTTTACTGCTAGGTAACAGGGGCATAGGGTGAAAGAATCTCTGCCCATTGTTTCTCGCCGGCGCCTGGGATCGAACCCAGGACCACAGGATCACAAGTCCAGCGTGCTGTCCGCTCGGCCGACCGGCCGGAATGCAGGAATATAACTACTTGATTCCAGAGTTTTCAGGCATACAAGCTGGCACAAAGGGAGTTTAATTTCATGACCTAAGATAGTATTGCACAATATTGCAACGTTATAAAACGTGAGAATCGAGACGGCAAATGTCCCATTATCCTGGGCGCAATAAGCTGAAGATTTTTTCATCTAAGGAGGAAGATTGGCTTTTAATCTTCAAAGGCTTTTATAGCCTTGAAGTCAGATAATTAAGGTCTCTTTAGTACTCGCTAAAACGTGTAGTTACGGTCGCCTTAGGCTAGTACGAGTAGGTTGGGTTGATGACTGATGTGGGGCGGGGCCCCCTGGGCGTGGCGCGGGGGCCCCTGGGCGTGGCGCGGGGGGGGGGCCTGGGCGTGGCGGTAGACACGCCCACAATTAATGGAAGTGTTGGCGAGTCCCCCCCCCCTCCCCCTCCACCAGTGAATTTGTTTGGTAATATAAAACATGTTATGGTTTTTAAAAAGTAAATATAACCTTTTGCAATCATATTATTTGATATATAATAAGTTTTTAATTTTGTAAAACATTTAAATCGTTAATAAAACATTTGTAATATTTTAAAATTATAACTGAAAAATACGACCCATTCTCCCAAACTGGTTGTACTTAGAATAACTATTTGGTTGAACGTACAAAAATTGACTGTTGGAGTCGACTGGTTAAAGTTTTGTACAGTACTAGTAATTATGGAGAGGGTACGGAATAATAAGCCAAAAAATCAAACTTAAACATGTACAGGCTTAGTATAGCATGTGTATGGTTAGGCCTAGGATTGCTTAGACAGGTTAAGTTTCGTTCTAAAGTGTTTTTTTTTTATATACAAGTTCTTACGTTCTTGTAAAGCCACTAGCACGCATAGCGTTTCGGGCAGGTGCTTTAATCTTAATTTTCCCTAGAACATGACCCGCCAAATCGTTTTAACAACCAGGTACCCATTCACATTCACTGCTGGGTGAACAGACGCTACAGTTAAGGATTTATCCCCCCCCCCCTCCCTCCCCCGTCAATCCTCCCCGGCCAGGATATGAACCCAGGCCAAATTGCTCGCGAAGCGCTGGGCGACTGTTTTACCTCTACGCCACAGGGCCTGTGGGAACATTTAATGTGTACGTTTTTGTGGGTTCTTGGCTGCAGTACACTTTTAGTGGGTATCGCCTCCAGCTCCCGCGGCACGCCTGTGGACCTTCGCCACACGCAGTGATAAACACTGGCATAGGGGTTGTAATATTGTAGCAAATTGTTATAGAGGATGTTATAGTGAAGGGCGGCCGTGTAGAAACCCGGCAACATGGGGTGATGTAGAGCCAAGTGCAGGGGGGTTGATGTGTGTGGCACCTCGTCTGGACACACACGCGCTGGCTGGCGAGTGTTAGGTGGAAGTGAAATAAAGAAAACCCAAATTTTTTCTCCTATACAAATTTTGCAACAATTTACACCTAGCATTGGGCCCTGGCGCGAGGGATGGGAGTGTCACAGAGGACAGCAAGGAAACAGGTGAAATATTAAGCTGTAATACTTAAAAAAAAACAATAACTGAATAGGTTAGATTTTCATTGAACCCCTGAAACGCACTGTAGACAGACAGTTCTAAACAAATTCGTAATGAATGTGAAAATATCGAAGTACAGTATATGTAAAACGTCATCTTAAATCTACTCTGGAATTGCAAAGACACTCGCAGGTCTTTAACATTTAGAGATGGAGCCTAGATAGTGGCATTTCTCCCCTTTCCCCCAAACGAACAAACTCGCAACTTTATTAACCGATAGCACTAATATCAGACAATATAAAATCTTGGAATGTGGTAAGTAGTATGATTACAAAACACATGGAAACGCTTACATATCCTTGGACAACATGGGCTTGAAGCAGGGTTCTCTTGCTTCGTACAATAGATCACTAGGACATGGATGACTAGCATAACGCTGCTGTAATGTATACAGCTTTCACTAAAGCTTTGGACAAATGTGACCATAGTGTTATTGTGCACAAAAGGAATTGCTGGCAAATTAGGAAGATGGAGCTTTTATTTCCTAACAAATATAATTCAAATTAGAATAGGATTTTTGAGAGGAGATAAGGTAAGGCTATGGTTGACCTTACCCACTAGTTTTCCCTGGAACAGCACTCTCCAATCGGTTAAACTAGGTGACCAATTATTATTTGGTGAACAGAGGCGAACAGTTATAAGGATTGGCACCCAGTGGATCTTTCCTGGCCTGGATTGGAACCCAGACCAAACTTTTTCCCGAGGCACAAGGCGAGTGCTGCTGCTGCGCCATCACCACCCGGGAAGTCTCTGGTCATGGCGAACATTTACGTTTAACGAAGAGGTCTAGAACGTGACATTATCAGCAGGTCTGTTACTCATTGTCGCTCTTGGTAGTGTAATAGTTGAACACTTGAACTCCACCTTGGTATTAGCTTAGTTTTAACTTGTAGTTCCCCCCCCCCAACCAACCCCCCCAAAAGGTTAAAGTACGTTTGAGACGATAAAATACATAGCATAGGGATGGATGTATAGCCAAAGTAGCTTTGGCTATATCGCCCCTCCACGATGATGCAAGGGCACCATCCAAGCACACCACCTTTATGGTGGATAAAAACAGCTGCGGTGGCCGGGTGAGGGAAGTAGATGGGTGTGGCAAGAACCGGTACACTCGGCTGATTACCTCTTGCTAAATGGATGGCTAGGGGGGCGCCGCCCCAGAATGATCTCGTACAACCTCATTTGTATGTTAAGCCTTCCGCGTGTAGGTTCTAATTATAATTAACAAATGGTATTGCTTTAAAGTGATTAAATTTAGTTTAAGTGCACGTGTGGGTGTATATTTTTGTGTTTACAGGAAGCGAAATGGAGTTACTGAGCCGCGCCTGTTACCATGCCTAGTGTGTTTCTAACTCACTACGGTGGTATAAATACGGTAGTATTCTGGTGGGTCATCCGGGACTCTCAGGTGTTCATGTAATCTTGTTCAGTGTCCCTGTACTGGATATTGTTGTCAGGTGTTCTCGGTAAATGAATTGTACATAACGGGGAGGCAGGTAGGGGGGTGTGTGAGAAAGCAAGAGCCATAGTTTCCAAATATTGACAAGTTATTCTGACAAAGGTAAGTTAGACTGGTGAGCATGTTGATACAACAGTCGTGGGGTTGTAACTTAACTTGCAAAGTTACTCCACTACATTGAAATTCCATTCAGCACTACTCCTAGTTAATGATAATTATCCTGCAGAAAATTTGTTAACGGTCCGTATAAGTGCTTTATGTAAGCCTATCTCGACCATTTGCTAGTTTCCACAAATAGCGAGTGTTGGTATATATATATATATATATATATATATATATATATATATATATATATATATATATATATATATATATATATATATATATATATATATATATATATATATATATATATATATATATATAATAATAATGTCGTACCTAGTAGCCAGAACGCACTTCTCAGCCTACTGTGCAAGGCCCGATTTGCCTAATAAGCCAAGTTTTCATGAATTGTTTTTCGACTACCTAACCTAACGTTTTCGGCTACCTAACCTAACTTATAAAGATAGGTTAGGTTAGGTAGGGTTGGTTAGGTTCGGTCATATATCTACGTTAATTTTAACTCCAATAAACAAAATTGACCTCATACATAATGAAATTGGTAGCTTTATCATTTCATAAGAAAAAAATTAGAAAAAATATATTAATTCAAGAAAACTTTTCTTATTAGGCAAATCGGGCCTTGCATAGTAGGCCAAAAAGTGCGTTCTGGCTACTAGGTACGACATATATATATATATATATATATATATATATATATATATATATATATATATATATATATATATATATATATATATATATATATATATATATATATATATATATCTTCAGAAGGTCGGTGACCTTCTGAAGATATATATATATATATATATATATATATATCTTCAGAAGGTCGGTGACCTTCTGAAGATGTATTTAATATACGAAAGTACTTAAGGAAATTTCCTGTTTCATTTTTCCTCCGTGGTCTGACATTGTCACATTCTTAATCACGTGTTTATTTTCGTGATATACACACATATATATATATATATATATATATATATATGTGTGTATATCACGAAAATAAACACGTGATTAAGAATGTGACAATGTCAGACCACGGAGGAAAAATGAAACAGGAAATTTCCTTAAGTACTTTCGTATATTAAATACATCTTCAGAAGGTCACCGACCTTCTGAAGATAGATATATATATATATATATATATATATATATATATATATATATATATATATATATATATATATATATATATATATATATATATATATATATATATATATATATAAATATAAATATATATATATATATAATATAGATTCAAGTGTTTGACGTCTTATTACCAAGCTATGACTAACAAAGACAAAAGTTCCAAGCTTGACCACCACCACTAGGAGCGCTGCGGCTCCCTGTTTAATAGGAATTTCAAAAATATTATTTGCCGATAACAATTGGGATTTGTATTTGTAAATGCATTTGTCACTTTATGGTAGTGCTAGATAACCCACTGCTGTATTACGAAAACGTATGTTCTCTGGTTAGCATTGTAATTTTGTCAATAAAGATGTTAATAATAAATAAGTATAAATGTGTGGCCACGTCTGTGGTAGAAAATAAACTTGTATGAAACAATCGCCTCGTATGCCCAGATCTCTTGTGTACTAGTCGTATTGTGTATTATTAAGGTGTTGAAAACTGACACTCACCCACTTGTTACCCAGCGAGACATTACTTAACGTTGTTCCATACGCCCGCCAGCCCCGCCCCTCCCAGCACCATCACACGCCCGCCAGCCCCGCCCCTCGCAGCACCATCACACGCCCGCCAGCCCTGCCCCTCCCAGCACCATCACACGCCCGCCAGCCCCGCCCCTCCCAGCACCATCACACGCCCGCCAGCCCCGCCCCCTGCAGCAGCAGCAGCAGCACCCACCCACCCACCCACCCACCCACCACCACCACCACCACCACACGCCCGCCAGCCCCGCCCCTCGCAGCACCATCACACGCCCGCCAGCCCCGCCCCTCCCAGCACCATCACACGCCCGCCAGCCCCGCCCCTGCAGCAGCAGCAGCACCACCACCACCACCACCACCACCACCACCACCACACGCCCGCCAGCCCCGCCCCTCCCAGCACCATCACACGCCCGCCAGCCCCGCCCCCTGCAGCAGCAGCACCACCACCACCAGCACCAGCAGCACCACCACCACCAGCACCAGCAGCACCAGCACCACCACCAGCACCACCACCAGCACCACCACCACACGCCCGCCAGCCCCGCCCCTCCCAGCACCATCACACGCCCGCCAGCCCCGCCCCCTGCAGCAGCAGCAGCAGCAGCAGCAGCAGCACCACCACCACCACCACCACCACCACCATCACACGCCCGCCAGCCCCGCCCCCTGCAGCAGCAGCAGCAGCACCACCACCACCACCACCACCACGCCCGCCAGCCCCGCCCCTCCCAGCACCATCACATGCCCGCCAGCCCCGCCCCTTGCAGCAGCAGCACCAGCACCACCACCACACGCCCCGCCCCTTACAGCACCACCACCACACGCCCGCCAGCCCCTGATGGGGGGAACCCCATGATAGACGTAATGTTGCCGACGCTATAGTGGCTGCTTGTAGATCAATGTTTAAATAGCCTCGGTCAGGACAATTATAGATGGTAGGTAAGATGTTGAAGACTAGTGTGTCCAGACGACTTGCCACACACCCAAGATAACGTGTGCAAAAGATGCATAGATCGCGGTAATGTGGGAGGATCAGTAAAGAACTATGATAGCCGCCTTCTCGATTAGAGAACTGGGTCAAGCAATGGAAATTACTGTACCACCAGGTTGTTGAGATGTACATTTAAACAGCTACAGCTGCTGTGGGAAATACGGTGATGGGTACCCCTCGTCCCACAACCCCCTATCCATTCCTACCCTCGTCCCTCCCCCCTATCCATTCCTACCCTCGTCCCTCCCCCCTATCCATTCCTACCCTCGTCCCTCCCCCCTATCCATTCCTACCCTCGTCCCTCCCCCCTATCCATTCCTACCCTCGTCCCTCCCCCCTATCCATTCCTACCCTCGTCCCTTCCCCCTATCCATTCCTACCCTCGTCCCTCCCCCCTATCCATTCCTACCCTCGTCCCTCCCCCCTATCCATTCCTACCCTCGTCCCTTTCCCCCTATCCAATCCTACCCTCGTCCCTTTCCCCCTATCCAATCCTACCCTCGTCCCTTTCCCCCTATCCAATCCTACCCTCGTCCCTCCCCCCTATCCATTCCTACCCTCGTCCCTCCCCCCTATCCATTCCTACCCTCGTCCCCTCCCCCCTATCCATTCCTACCCTCGTTCCTCCCCCCTATCCATTCCTACTCTCGTCCCATCCCCCCTATCCATTCCTACCCTCGTCCCATCCCCCCTATCCATTCCTACCCTCGTCCCATCCCCCCTATCCATTCCTACCCTCGTCCCCTCCCCCCTATCCATTCCTACCCTCGTCCCCTCCCCCGTATCCATTCCTACCCTCGTCCCCTCCCCCCTATCCATTCCTACCCTCGTCCCCTCCCCCCTATCCATTCCTACCCTCGTCCCACAACCCCCTATCCGTTCCAACCCTCGTCCCACAACCCCCTATCCGTTCCAACCCTCGTCCCACAACCCCCTATCCGTTCCTACCCTCGTCCCACAACCCCCTATCCGTTCCTACCCACTTCCCACCCTTACTAATACTAATCTGTGCACTTGTAACCCTCTCCCATAGTCTTACGCCGGTCTTGGCGTCTCCTCTTGGCATCCGAGTCTTAGCAGCCACCACCACCACCACTCCACCTCCACCAGCAACCATAACCACCACCACCACCACCACCACTCCACCTCCACCAGTCACCACCACAGCCGCAGGCCCAACTTCCTCCCTGTTACGTCGTCGTCCTCTCCCGCCTTCCGCAACTCTGTCCCGGCCACTCCGGTAGGTAGTTGCTCTCGATGTGGTGGAACATTGCTTGGGGGAGGCAAGGGGTTGTAAAGTGAGTTGATGAGGGAGGGGGGATATAATAGAGCTGGAAGGTGGGTGGCGTGTGCCGGATTGACGGTATTGGGAGACACATTAGCTTAAACTGTCGGTTAACTCTGACTTACTGGTACATGTAAGCAATACTTAGAAGCACTCGTAAAAAATTATTAAAGAACACGCTAATCCTGACACCTATTCCCCCCCATTCCCTCGTTGGACTCTACGGCGAAGCATGTACATATGCAGGCACCAGAGTACCCAAATGAGCCAAAGCGTGTGTGTGTGTATATGTATATGTGTGTGTGTGTATATATATATATATATATATATATATATATATATATAATATATATATATATATGAACACCCACATTTATGCTGAAATGCATATGTTCAAAACATTCAAAGTACTCGCCAGCCGGTTAGCATTGTAAATGTGTGGCCACGTCTGTGGTAAATAATAATAATAATAAAGTTTGGCAACAGAAAATAAGCACTGGAAAATGTTAGGTTCAAATTACGATATTAGTGTATTTTACATTCTTTTAAATGCCTCTTTAGATGGTACTAGTGTAAAAAAAAAGTGTAATAATTTTGGCTATGAAAGCCATTTGGACGTTAAGTGTGTGAAGGTTTTATATGAAACTTAGTAATACTTAACCCTAGCAGGTGTGTGTTATTAGTTGTGGTCTGTTGTTAACCGGATTTGGGATTATAGCTTCACGCATTAGTGGTAGTTGTGTGATACAAGTTTGTATCGTGTGATGATAGTGTGAGAGATTGTCTAAGCGTGTGGTATCGTATCGTGTGATACAAGTTTGTATCTACAGCATATCCGTTTAGTGCTTCTTGTTAACTGAATTTAATAATAGGAATTAAACGCATTTATCTACTTATGGGAGGCTCACACAAGCCTGTAGCCTAAAATTTATAAGGCTTTTCTAGTTGAGTTGGACTCTTAATAAAAGATACTAGTTTCTATTGGTTGTAGTTCTGACATTTTAAAGTTGGTGATATAGTTGCTAATTAATAGTTCTGATATTTTAAGTTGCAGCGCTCTGGAAGAGTTAGAGATCAGAATTAGTACTGCTCTCTAAAGCTTGAAAGATGTAGAGGGCACTTGAGGATATGTAGTTTGTTCAACGTTATCTTGAGAAATTAAATAAGGTTGGTCTTGGAGCTTGCCATGAGGGGGTGATTGTGTTGTGTGGCCACTGTGGTTTAGCCGCTGCTGGTTATTACTTGTGTGTTAGTTTAGTTCATTTATTATGCACCCCATACCCATCTTGTGGGCGGTAGTGGAAAGGGTTACAGAGGCACATAATGGGCTCAGAGACTGAACCCCACAATTCATTTAGCTAAGCGAGTTACAATCTTGATGAGCTAGTTACAAAATTCAATATAAGTCGTCACATGTGGGTTGTTGGAAGGTATTGTCTAGCAAGGAGCATTTCAGCGGGTTTTGACATTCCTGCTGGTTGATTTTTTTAAATTCAGTTTTAGGATGCGTCAAATTTCCTTTATCTTGCTCTTAATCTGGGTGTTTATTTTAAGATTTTTCGCTAGTAGATTTGTTTGTAAATAGTATGCAATATGATTTTAAATATAAAGGGAGAGTTCGTTGGCTATTAATTACGTAATGACTTTGAGTTCGGTAATTACCATGACGATTAGAATGTGTTTGAGCTTCGGAAGATGAAAATTATGAACAGACGGTATAGGCTGGTGTCGGTAGGCCTTTTGGTAGGTCACTGGTTTACACAAGACAGTCGAGGGCTAAGTTTACTGCCCCCGAGAATCAATGTATTGTAAACTGGCTGCGACTGTGTATGAATGTGGCAGACTTGATGACAGTTGCTTTACGGTTGCGGTGTGTTGGGTTACATCCCTGAGAACTGGAGCTTACCTGGAGCACAGCAGAGCCCAGTGTGCAGCCCGTCCTCTACAAGTGCCACAACGGGCAGACATTGGTGTACTAATACGATCGAATTATCAACCACGCGTACAAAACGTCTATGGTTGCGCGTCGCTGTGATTTATAGCACCCCCTTTTATTTGTCCTGGTTGATACCTGGTTGATGGGGTTCTGGGAGTTCTTCTACTCCCCAAGCCCGGTCCGAGGCCAGGCTTGACTTGTGAGAGTTTGGTCCGCTATGCTGTTGCTTGGAGCGGCCCGCAGGCCCACGTACCCACCACAGCCCAGTTGGTCCGGCACTCCTTGGAGGAAACAATCTAGTTTCCTCTTGAAGATGTCCACAGATGTCCATTTCGGGATTTTGACGCAATGGTAAATTAGGTGTTAATGTATATTTTAGATGAGTAGGGGTTGGTAATGGCTTTGTATGCAGTCAGTCTTCAAAACAAAGGGTCTAAATAGATTACATTTAGCAGCCAGTCCCGCTGTTGAGAGAAATCCACATTACCCGACGCCCAGCTGATGACGTTCAAACTTGAAACTGAAACAAAAATTGCTAACTTCCGTTCGAATGTTGAAAATAAACTTCTTGAATAGATTCAGACTTGAAACGTCAAACAACGCAGCCACAGGGTTGATGTAGAAGCAGCAGCGTCATTCGCTCCAACATATTGGTGGTGGTTGATAAAGATTAAGCTACCCAAGAGATGGCACGGGCATGAATAGCCCGTAATTATTGACGGTGGTTACAGAGACCAGGTATAGTAGTGACCTCGGATGCTGTAATAAGTTATTATGGTCAACACTCTAAAACCCCCCCTTCTGTAGTCCTACGAAAATTACTACAGTATTTTGTCTTGTCTTTCTAAAAGCAAAAAATGTAGCATATGAAACATGTCGGAGTATTAGAGTCCTTGCTAAAATGGAGACTAATTACAGGTAAATAGTCTAGTTGTTTATGATGTCTATCTAGAGAAGTTTAAGCTGCGTGTATAGTTCTAATATTTTAAAGTTTGTGGTCAATAATTGTTAACGAGTTAGATCTTTACGTACTGGGATAGTTCTGACCTTTTAGGGATGTAACAACACAACAGGGGAGGGGGGGGGGTTAACAAAAAATATAAATTTGTATTTCTGATTGCTTTTGATTTTGAGTGTATTTAAGAGATCAACGTGAGCTGCTCGAGAGCAGGTGCAGAACTGTAATAATCATCTGATACATTTATTCCTTAGCTATATTTAACTGTCGTTCATATCGTATGGGCAAATTTTGTTCATAGTAACTGAAAGCATAGATTGAAATCGGTGGCATTATCAACAGATGATATAAATTATATATTATATACAGTGACCTTTTGTATTTTTGTTGACGTGTTGGGCCGGGTTTGTGAGGGTGGCCAGACCGGCTGAGCAGCAATATGACTCTTCCAAGTGTTGCAGGAGACACCGTTCCTGTGGTCAGGCACCCAGCTGGGGATGGGTGGGGCTGCTGGGACTCCCAGGAGGAAGGCCAGTTAGTGCAGCTGCGCGTCTCGTGGGCGACCTGTCTCGAGGCAATGTCGTAACCTAGGAAAACTGAGGCTTTCCTTCCCAAATATTGTAAAAGCTTTGAGAGAATGGGACTTAATAGCCAATTGCATATATTTAAAGAGCGTGTGTGTCGTTTTCAGTGGTTTCGCACCTGGGCGTCTCTCTCCTTCACTGTCTCAACCTGTCTCACTCTGCATGGTGAGGAAGGCAGATACACAACATTTCAAGATTCGAAAACAAAATTGGCTTGGATGTTACTAAAAGTTGCATACATTGGCTACGAATAGTTTGGGTGCTCAATTGCAACAGTGTATTAAGTTTTCTCATCAAAACTCATTTTCACTGTTTCAAGGCTACAGAAAATAAAACTAATGCCACTAGGCACTCTTAAAGGTGGCGTCTTAAGCCCACCATGTTCGGTGTACTAATAAGTCTAACTAAAAAATTACGAAAAATTAGAATTAGTTGTGCAGATGTTCTTGTACATGCCAAAAATCAGATGTAAACAATCTAAAATTGCATACACACACAGCCTGTGAAAGCCTTGGTCTAGTGATCGTCACTGGAGAACACCGAGGTGTGGTCAAGAGACACACACACACGTGCTATACCAAAAGTATACCCCACAGTCAAGATTTATAACATGGCTAGAGTAGTGTCGGAACTGTGGGGGGGGGGGTTCAGACACAGCCCCGAGTGCATTGTACTTGATTGATTGATGAAGACTTAGCTACCTAGGAGGTGGCACGGGCATGAATACCCCGTAAGTGGTAGACTTTTTTTTTTTAGTGAATGTGATCTTTGGTCGTGAAAGGATAAAATGCATGCTGTGCTCACATTTAAATAGTCAGTCCTTAATATGTAGCTCCTATCGCGGGGAAGGAAACTGCTTGACAGTATTTAAGGGTGTCCAGCTGCCGAACATTTCATTACCAAGAGAGTAGCAGTGTTGATGGCTCAGGGTGGTTACTGCAAGATTCAGGGACTCTTAAAGCTCTTCTAAGGTGTTGGTTGCTTGACATTCCGGGAGATAGTGAAGTAGTGGCTTTTCTGTGATTGTTTGGCAGAAGATGCATTCTATCTGTCGAGGTTCACCAATTTCCCAGTTGCATCTGTAACATAGACGTAGTCTGTATAACCGAACTATTTCCTTGTAGATTCCTTTTGGGATATTTAACTTGCCAAATTTGGTGGCCTGAAGATACCATATTGCGGTGTACATGCCAGTGCTGACATTATGTATTAGCAGTTACACTGTGGCAGAATACCCCCGTTGAAAAGCAGAGGTGCAACATGTACTCTGAGAGAGAATTAACTCTATCAACATTAGAGGCCTGAGACACTTAAACACGCTTCCACTACACATAACTGGCCGACCCCTCAATGTTCAAGAGAACTGGATAAGCACCTCCAAGGATACCTGATCAACCAGGCTGTGACTCATACGTTAGGCTGCGAGCAGCCGCGTCCAGCACCCTGGTTGATCAGTCCAGCAACCAGGAGGCCAGGGAGCGGGCCGCGGGGACGCTAAGTCCCGGAAGCACCTCAAGGTAAGGTGGCTGCTGTGGCGGACACCCCGTTTAGCTCAACGAACTTTACGGTTCTGGTTCTGAACCCATTATGTACAATTGACCTTTTTCCCCCACTACAGTTCATAGGATGGATATGGGGTTCACCCCTGCTCACTGGGGGGGGGGGTATTGGGTGCATAATAACTGAACTTCGAGTAACAAACGGTGTCTGACAAACCCTTAACAAGTGGGTTAACCATACTTGGGAGGTCGCACGTCTACTGCTCTTTAATTTGGCCGTGTAACAAGTACATATTTGAAGTCAATCACTCCAGTGGGATCTCGGAACATCTCGTGTCATGATCATTGACATCAGTGAAGTCACACACCTTGTGCTCACCTTTAATAATAAAACATTTTCTCCCTCGTTCGGTCAAGTTAAGTATTTATTTATATTAGATTTGACAATTTATATGCACACCTTGCACTTCGTTATAATAGTAAACAGACTGCACAGCACCTTTATTAATTACAGTGACACAATACATTATACATTGAACATTACAGGATAGTTGAAGAGTTGTGATTATTATTTTAGCAAAAGGTTTCGACGTAGCAGATGCCAAACCTTCCATATTTTACTTGTCCTCAAAGCATTTAGAATAATTAAAAAAATTCTAGATTATTAAATTAGATAAAGCCTATACTCCAAATTTCACATACATTTACTTTTTTTGTTTATATTCTATACTTTATTACACAGCATAGCACTGACTTCCCTACATTTCTTCATTAATGTCTTAAATTATGTAAATATCACAATTTCGCGTCAGTTTGAGAGTTAACGGTGTTGCACAAGAATGGATGTACGCATTTCCAGCAACAACCCATTATCGTATACAAAAAAGTTGAATTTAGAGTAATAATAGTACAGAACACACTGCAATCGTCCTCCACCTCTAGCATATCTTACCATTTCGTTCGTGCAATTTCGTGTGCAATGTGTTGGAAAAATCGTATCGTAACAGTTTGGGTATTCGTGACAAATGCCGTCAAATTATATTTTAGAGCTGAGGCTAGGAATATAGTCATCCCCCCTGGCTTATCCTCATTGTCCCTTGTTAGCCGTAGTTGGCGCCTGTTATTATTGGAGGTTACCGCTGGTAATGACCGTAATAACCTAACCTTGACCTTTGTGGTCCGCGTAATTTTGTGGGGGGGGGGGGGGGGGGCAGGGGGCATTGTTTTGTTTAAGCCGTGAATAACTGGGCGTAGACCTTGAATAGCACCTCTCGGGCGAATTATGAGTGCTGGAATACACGCCTCGTTAGTTAAGTTTATTGTGGAATATTTCTGCCGATATTAATTTGTTACACAAGTTATGAAAGTCCTTGATTGAATTGTCTTTTAGATTATATCCATTCTTTAAGTGTTAAAGTAGCGTTGGGAGAAGCGTGACCTGGAGAAGGTTGAGGTGGGAGTATTTTGCCAGCCCGGTGTTGACGCAATTGGACATACAAACAGCACATGCCATAAAGAAGCAGCTGCGACTGGTGTTCCGCATTCAGTTTTAAGTTTATTCGGGAGTAATTAATTGTTACATAATTTATCTTAATCCACGAACACGTGTGGTTGATAATAAAATATCAGGAGCATTGAAATTGAAATAAGTTTATTGAGGTAAAATACACACAAATGGATGAGGTAGCTCAAGCTATTAAGAACATAAGAACAAAGGCAACTGCAGAAGGCCTATTGGCCCATACGAGGCAGCTACTATTTATAACCACCCAATCCCACTCATATACTTGTCCAACCCGCGCTTGAAACAATCGAGGGACCCCACCTCCACAATGTTACGCGGTAATTGGTTCCACAAATAAACAACCCTGTTACTGAACCAGTATTTACCCAAGTCTTTCCTAAATCTAAACTTATCCAATTTATACCCATTGTTTCGTGTTCTGTCTTGTGTTGATACTTTTAATACCCTATTAATATCCCCTTTATGTCCATTCACCCACTTGTAAACCTCTATCATGTCACCCCTAACTCTTCGCCTTTCCAGTGAATGCAACTTAAGCTTTGTTAATCTTTCTTCATATGAAAGATTTCTAATTTGGGGAATTAACTTAGTCATCCTACGCTGGACACGTTCAAGTGAATTTATATCCATTCTATAATATGGCGACCAAAACTGAACTGCATAATCTAAATGGAGCAAGATATAGAGCTAGATATAGCTTGAGAACCACACCAGGTGTCTTATTACTAACGCTGCGATTAATAAATCCAAGTGTCAGATTTGCCTTATTACGAACATTTATGCATTGATCCTTTTGTTTTAAATTCTTACTAATCATAACTCCCAGATCCCTTTCGCAATCTCAACACCATCTAGCTCGTATCTTGTAACTCTATCATCATTACCTAACCTCAGAACTTTACATTTATCAGCATTAAACTGCATCTGCCAATCCTTTGACCATTTCAAAACCCTATCTAGATCAACTTGAAGTGATAGTGAGTCCTCCTCCGAATTAATTTCCCTACCGATTTTCGTATCATCGGCAAATTTGCAAATGTTGCTACTCAAACCTGAATCTAAATCATTTATATATATTATAAACAACAGAGGTCCCAGGACAGAGCCTTGAGGCACTCCACTTACATTTTCCCACTCTGACTTGATTCCATTTATACTAACTCTGTTTCCTTTGGTATAGCCATGCCCTAATCCAGCTTAATATAGCACCCCCAATACCATGAGCCTCTATCTTTTTAATCAGTCTTTCATGTGGCACTGTATCAAAAGCTTTGCTAAAGTCAAGGTACACAACATCACAATCCTTACCACTATCAACTGCCTCAACTATGCTAGAATAAAAAGATAACAAATTTGTTAAACATGAACGGCCATTTATAAAACCATGTTGCGACTCAATTATTAATTTATGTTTTTCAAGATGAAGACGAATTTTATTTTGTTATAGATTCGAGTAACTTTCCCACAATAGACGTTAGGCTAATTGGTCGATAGTTAGATGCAAGTGATCTATCTCCTTTCTTAAAAACTGGTATCACATTAGCAACTTTCCAAAACTCTGGCACTCTGCCTGACTCTATTGATTTATTAAATATGGGTGACAGTGGGTCACAAAGCTCCTCTTTGCATTCTTTAAGCACCCTGGCAAACACTTCATCCGGCCCTGGGGATTTGTTTGGTTTGAGTTTTACTATTTGTTTAAGAACATCCTCCCTGGTAACTGCTAAACTCGTCAACCTGTCCTCGTCCCCACCCACATAGACTTGTTCGGCTGAAGGCATTATTCTCACCCCGTTCAGTACATCGTGTTAATACATACATACACACACATCACAAACAATAAACATATTACCAAACATTCTGAGAGACCAGGAGCATTGTATTTGGGTTTTATGTATATATATCACTGGGGAATGCGTGTTAATTACATCCTCTCTTGCAGGCGTCGCCACCGGAGACTCCTAATTCGAGGTCTCCCGATCTGGATCTGGACGACGGTGATTCCGTCAAGAGTTTTGGCTCTGTGTCTTCCGCCGTGAGTTGCGACGCGGGCCTGGCGCAGCACCGCCACTACTACAACCACCACCCCCAGCAGCAGCAACACACTTGCGGGGGCGGCAGTACCAACAGCAAGGGTGGCAAGAACCTGAAGTATGTGCTTCACTGCCGCCACAACCACGATTACGACCCCGATAATTACCTCACGCCCACACAACGGGCGGCTCGGCGCATTCGAGAGCTGAAGGTAGGTTGGTGGGAAGGGTAGCAAGAGCCAGGAAAGAAAAGGGAGGTAGGTAGGGAGCAAGCAAGCAAGAGAAGGGGAAGTGATCCACAAGCCTCTCCATTTAAAGCTCTGCAGATTAACAAGACTGTTAGTACTTTCAGGCCATCGTACCCTTGTTGATCAGGGTCCTCCTTTGTAGGGGTTTGTCCAAAGTTCTTCACCGATTGCTTTGAAATTTTGAACCAACGTTCCATTCGCTTACGAACATGTTTTTATATACATTATATACAATGGGGCCTCGACTTGCGATGGTAATCCGTTCCCAGGGACGGATCATAAGTCGAAATATAGTAAGTCGAAGCGATTTTTCCCATAAGAAATAAAGGGAATTGAATTAATCCGTTCCCCACCCTCCAAAATATTAACTTACAAATACATTTTATACTGAATACAATTTTGTTCTCTAACTACAATACAGTACAAATGTTTATCTTACCTTTATGGAGGACTCTTGATGGCATATGAAAGATGGTGAGGAAGGGGGGGAGGAGAGGTATTACTGTTTGGAAGGGGAGTCCCCTTCCATTATAACATCAGGCAGTGATGACTTTTCTGGGATACACTCTCCGGCATGTATTGCCTGCACACCACTAGGACCTGCTTGTGGCTCACTGCTTGCTTGTCTTACTAAGAATCTGTCTAAAAACACTTGCTTTTCCCTACATTTTAACACTTGTCTGTAATAAGATATCACATTGTCATTTAAAAGGTCAATGCAACGGCCTGCTACAGCTTTATCTGGGCGAGTTTTTTCAACAAAACTTTGCCGTTCTTCCCATACTTCACACATTTTCTTAATGAGGAAGGGATATCCTCTACTGCCTCAACTGACAACTATTTTCTTAGGTTGAACCTTACCACTGACTTTCTGGGACCCATGGCGTGTTATATAATAATCAGTTTTATGTTCAAAAAGCAAAAAATCACCACAAAAACGGAATTTCTTATAGGCGTGATTGTCACTAAGCGGGCAGCTCTAGTAAACTGAGGCAGGTTGGCCTGCGTGACCGGGAACCACGCTGTCGGTCGACCCAAACGTGTACCAACAAATATCGTTAATCGACGACACTATCGTAAGTCGAGTCGCATTTTTCAATGAAATTTACATCGTAACTCAAAATTATTATAAGTCGGGGCAATCGTAAGTCAAGGTGCCACTGTATATGGTAACCATCATGGTAACTGCAATAACCTGATGACACGTCTGTGACAGTTAAAAACATGGTTTTTTTTAACTGTGTTTCATAAGAATTTTCATGAGGGAAATCTTCGAAACCTCTTTACCGATTGCTTTGAAATTTTGACACAACATTGCATTCGAATACACACGTGTTTTTATATACTTACTTTACCTGTGAAAGGTAAATACATGCTCTAAAAAAAAATAGCGCCATCTGTTGCATGAAAAAGCAACACGTTTTACTAAATATGTTAAGATTCCATTTAAATGTTTCCGATTGCATTGATAAATTTAATTTTCATAGATTTAAATTTATTTTCATTTTGATTTATTTTGTGACATTGCATTGGAATTGAGCTGTGCTGTTGACCATACTACTCATTTCGTGATTATAGTCTTTTTATTTGTTCATTGTTTTTATTTTGTTTTTTAACTGTTCATATTTTTCAGTGATGGGAACATCAGATCATTTGGGAATGCATCGGACGAGGGAGTGGGGAATGTAGGGAGGATAAGGGAAAGGGAGTGGGGGATTGTGGGGAGGACGAGGGAATAATGGTGGGGGGGGGGGGGGGGAGACAGGGGAGTTGAGGATGGTGAGGAAGACAACGGGACAAGAATGAGGAATGGTGGGGAGGACGGGGGAATGGGTAATGGTTGGAACAACGAGGGAAGAATGGTGGGAAGGACAGGGGGACTGGAGGAATGCTGTGGCTCGGCAACACGCATGCGTTACCTAGCCACAGCAACGCGTGGCAGGGTACACCTAGTATTGAGTAAAGAGTAAATGTAATGATAGATACTGCACATAATAACATAATTTGAATTCACATACTAACTACTGATGAACTTTCATCTCTAAATTGTAAAATTTTAGGCAAGTTAGTAGCACAAGGTGGGATACCATGATGAAATTGGGTACTTTATTGAACAAATCCACAAGGGCCGTGACGTAGATTCGAACCTGCGTCCAAGAGCATCCCAGATGCTGCCTTAATCGACTGAGCTACGACATAAGAATTGCAACCAGAAATTCTACTGAATTTACTTGGATCCTGCGCACTCTCTGAGAGACAAACCATAATTTTACACAATTCCCCCATGCACTCGAGCTATGGCAATAGGTCGTTCTACCTCTTCGCCCTTACTTCATTACACACAGAAATCACAAATTACTCAGTAGGTTCGAATCCTCGTCACGGCCCTTGTGGATTTGTTCATTTGATACATCACGCTATTGTGATTTCTGTGTGTTAGGTACTTTGTTTTACTTTTGAATAAAGTATAGGTTGTTTTGCAATTTTTTAACTCGCTAGGAAGAGAGTTCCATATATGTATCGAGTCCATTTATTTGAATGGCACATTTGCATAATTTTAGTCACTGGGAATATCGTGTGTATTTCTGGCGTGATGTTCATGGGTTCTATTACATCCCTCTAAGAAGTGTCGAAATAGGATTAGAATTTAGTTTTGTAAATGTAAATACCCTGTAGCACATTTAAATTGGATATTTATATTTATAAACAGCTGTTGAAATGCACATGGAGGAGGGGGCTGGGGTATCCGCCTAACCCATTGGAAATTGTAATCAAAATAGCATATCGAAAACAATGCCCACTAATTAACAATCTTGTATAGTGCGTTCTCATTCTCCACCACAAACACTTCCCTCCTCTCCCTCTCTAGATACGACGTTCATTTTACCTTGTGTGTATAATAAGTAGTAATCAAATTTATATCATAAATGTGTAAAGCTAGAAATTATGAATATGTAAAATCTATTTGTAACTGCACACCACCTAGCTCCTTCCCATTTATAGGTTAACTGGGCTTGTAATAAACACGGTAGCTAAGTACAATATAGTTGAGGGACGAGCTAGTGAAAATTGGCATCTTCCTGTAGAGCCAGCTTGCCGAGGCCCGGCGGGAGGTCCACGTGAGGGATGCAGAGATCTCCCGTCTCACTAGAGAGCTGGTAGAGCTCAGGCTACTGAAGGCGCGCTCCCAGCAGCGGGACGACGAGGCCGAGGTGAGTATTGGGTGAAGTGACATATGGGTTACTGAAGGTGCTTTGAACAGCACACTACCCTTTATATATGGTTCAATAATAACAAATTGTACTTCTGTAGTTTTATGTACCAAGAATCGCTCCCCAAGGCATTTTTTTTATTTTTTTTTTAATACCACAACCAAATATGTTGGTCGTTTGATAATTTTTTTTTAACGAATCCCTCAAGCGAGTTAGGGCCAAAATACTGCATGTAATTAGTGGCTTTATAAAATATACAAATACTGTACCTATTAATAACCCACTGTAATCTGATACTGTTTACTTATAAGAAAAGAAATACTACTTGTAGTATTAATATTACATTATAATTATTGCAGTACTATACTGTGTAGTGTTTTTTTAATTTTCACACCAGGCCTCCTTATTTCAGACAAACGCTAAAAGAGAGAGACAAACTTCCACAAATACACCTGCTATATGCAATAGCCCAGACCAACAAGGGGACATACAGAGATGTCATACAACAGAACCTCGCACTTCTCCCTCAACACCTACCCCGAAGACCTCAGCCACGCCGTCCGAAGGAAGTGAACCAGAGCTCAGTCGCTTAATGGATAACTTGACTACTGGTATGCATTTTTAGCTTTTCAGTTTTGAAACAAGGCAACTTGTCTGCTGATCCTTGTTTAGCACAGGTGTGTATGTATGTTGTGTAAGATCTTTGTGCAAACTCGGGGCTAATTAGCCACATTGAGAAGATGCTGAGATATGGTATTTAACAATTTACATTCTCAATAGATTAGTGCCAAGTAATTTGAGATAAAGCCATATCCTGAAGAGACAATATGGTAGTGGTGAAAGTTGAGGAGGCCAATGATGTCCAGGTAGCTGGTACTGCTGGAGGAAATGTTCCCCTGATGCTGGTCTGAGGCAGAGTAAATGTCATTTACCAGGTTTGAGGTTTATTAGGTTCTGGTGACCTAATGTAAATGAATTTGAGGACGCTTGAGAGAGTGCCAGGCTATAAGCTATTATGTGGTGCCACTGTATGAGGGAAACGTTGGCACCATCATGAATGCCCATGTTACTTCTCCTCGCTCATGAGTGCAGCGTAGAGTGGGCAAGTAGTTGTAGAGAGTTGTATATGGTAGATAACAATAGGTTTAATCAAAGCACAACTCTGCCAAAAGTTGAAGTATCCCAGATCTTGAGTACTATATTCTAATGCTTAGATGGTATTTATATACTGTATATTCTTTTAATCATAATAATAATAATTATTCAAGTAAAAGTACATAGAATACATACAATGTGTTTGTAAACAGAATGCTGGATTTCTAGAAAGAGCTAGTATGTACTATACCTAAAGCCATTAGTACACAGCATTTTGGGGAAGATGAGGAAAACACTTTAAAAATAAGACTTAAATTAATTGAGATCAAAAGAATGAATTGGACTGAAAAAGGAAAAAAGTGACAATACAGTAGTTGTATGTTGGATGGAACAGCAGGAATTGGAACAGATCAGCCGAAATAATTTTAACTAAATAAACACGTGTATAAAAACATTTATAAAAAAAATTTGTAGAGTTTATATCTGGTAAGTATCATTAGTTATAAAAGTTGGTCAATAATCAGTATTGTTTGAAAATAGCAAGACATGGGTTGACATTTAGGACGTAAGGTAGGTTACATGTAGTTGATTAGGTAGTGCATAGTATTTATCTTAAACTGATTTAGAGAGGTAAAGTCCTTGACATGGTTGGGAAGGTCATTTGATATTTTGGAGTCTCTTGATTTTGCAGAGCATTTCTAGATTGTCTCGCACTTGGAATATCAGATAGATTTGTTTCTAGTGTATATATATATATTAATTATATAATTTAATTAATTTATTTATTTAAATTATTTAATTGTATATTTATGCAATTTATTTAACTTATTTATTTAATTTATTTTATTTAATTATTTATTTTATTTTATTATTTTTTAATTTATTTATTTATGCATATACAAGAATGTACATAAGGAATGTGAGGATACAAATATGGTAATTACAGTCTTGTAAAGCCACTAGCACGCGCAGCGTTTCGGGCAGGAACTATTATTTAATTATTTAATTATTTATTTTATTTTATTATTTTTTAATTATTTATTTAAATATTATTTAATTTGGTTTATTTATTGATTGGTTTGTTTAATTATTTAATTTAATTTATTTAATTATTTATCTTTTTTATTTTACTCTTAAGATATGCAGTGACTTCATAGCTAATTAAAAATAAATTTTAATTTATTTAATTATTTATCTGTTTATTTTACTCTTAAGATATGCAGTGACTTAATAGCTAACATATTCAAAAGATTTAAGTAAGGGGGCCGAGTGCTGTCTGCAGCCAGAGTTTGTTATTGTTCTAATAGTAGATTTGTGTTGTAATTAGAGTAAACTGCTCTTCTGTCTTGGGTATTGTTTCCTTGTTCAATAATAGCAGTATGTCATAATGGTGTTTCTACCAAAATTAAAATGTTAATTTCAATTCCAAACCCCAATGTCTTGAATATTCTGCCAAATAAGCATGGGGAGGGGGCCTGCAAGTAAAACATCGTTTTATCTAAAGCTTTGTGTTCCTGTATAAGCTGCATCACATAAATGATTACCTTGACTGAAATCTTTTGGTCAAATGTATTTATAGAGGTTAGAGACCTTCATTTTGAGTATCTAGTGATTTACCACAATGTCAATCCACACTGTAAAAAATTAGGATTCTGGGTGTAAGTAGATTGGTAAAGCATGTTCTGGGTTAATGCATAGAAAATGTGGGTAAATTAGAACATTTTCCTTGGCACCAAATCACATACACTGTAGCTTTGTATACTATCATTGTTTAAAGGCATTTTTATATCTTTGAGGGCAAAACATGATGAGCCAGCCTTTCCATATCAAGTTAAGTATCTATTATTTTGAGTAATTAAAAAACTAACTAATTTATTTGTTCATAATTTTCCCTGTTTAAATGTCATGCAGGTACAGAACCTGGCACAGCACGTGTTCCAGTTGCTTCTCCTGCAGCAGGCTCTGTAGCAGAGACCACAGCAGATTCTGTTGATCTCACGCGATCTCTGGCAGACTCTGGCCATTATGATGATCTCACCTCACCTTGCCTCTCATCAAGGGTATTCATGCAAGAATATTTTTATTTTAACATTTAACATTGGGAGAAGGGTATAACTCCACTTATTCCATTTAATTAATATTCAAGACAAATCCTGCTTTCATGTGATAGAATGTAAAAAGTGTTCGTATAGTCTTTGGAAAATATTTGTGTAAAGTTGGGTATTGTAGGCATATTCATTTAAACTTTGTGGAAGAAGAGCTGCACATCATGGGTTTTTTACCTGTGTCTTTGAAAGCTGTTAATAAATTTCATTTAGATAATTTTAAATGTTAGGTAAACTGAAGCTCTTACATGGAAAAATACCAGGAACAAGAAAAGATCCTTCAGATTTCACTAATACAATGAATTACTATATTCAGTCGAGTTAGACTAAATAATACCGAATTATTTAAGGCAATCAAATTTTTTCCATTATCAGGACAAGAAGCTTGTTTGGTGTATAGAGGAACTCCCTAGCCAACTACTGTTCATCCCTTAATGTATCCCACAACAGTGGGTAATAAAAATGTACCAACAATTTCACACCAAATAGTGGTAGGTTCCTGGTAGTACTGTACAGTCGGGTTCGTTCTCGACTCGGTTGAGAATTCCAAGTTGAGGTCAGTAAATACTACTTTGGGGAGGGAGGGGGCAACCCTCGATATAAGCCTAATGTATATGAATACACTCTGGCTGTCTGTCCCCTCCAACAGAATGAATTATTCAATTACCGGGTATACGTTTATTAGTTACGATAATTATTGTTAGAGCAGGATAAAGTGCCTCCAGTAAAAGAAAGGAATTGGGAGGTGCTAGCTTGGGGATCATTAAGGGGGTATGTTCAGTTGTAATGGTTTATGGAATAGAAGTTTTGCATATAGTAATGTAAATTGGCTTTAACAGGAAGGAGACTGTCTTTTATTATTTCATCCAACGTAAGATAGGAAAGTCGATGTATATAATCTAGAAAGCTATTTATACATTCTAAATGTGATCTATTGAACCTCAGGATCCATTTGAGGCAAGTAGAGGATCACTGAGAGGGCGGCGGATTATTGAGGATGAAGATGAAGCTGATCCATGGGTAGCTGTCGAGGAGACAGAAGCAAGGCTTAGAGAAGAATATGAAAGACGTGAAGACCAACTGAAGAGGAACCATATGGATGAATACCATGAACTTAAAGAAAAGCACAATGATCGTGTGGAAGCTCTTCTTTCAAAACTTAGTGATGCTAATCTCAAGTAATATAGACTTCAGTAATTTGTTTGAATTGTAAAATGATATAAAATAGGTGAAATGTTATTCCTTCACTTGTTAAATATAATGTAATAATGAAATGGGCAGTAAATTGTAGACAAATTTCAGATACTTTGAATTGCGACCAATGTATGATCGAAGTCAGGAAAGAATTCGTGAGTTGGAGCGTGAAGTAACGAGGCTGAAGGATGAACTCACAGAAGCCGAGCTTCGTCATCAGAAGATGTACTTGCAGATGTTCCTTAAAGGCCAGCAGGCAGCCAAGTTACAAGCTGATGATCAGGTAAGCTTGAAGCGAGCCCAACCTGTCATCTCACTTGATGGTCCACGGTTTTGACACCTTTTAACCAGAGAGCATCAAAATGCAGATACATTAGTGTAATTAAAATCACTGTAATAGTGTTAGACCCTTGGACTAATGAGCTTCACCCTCAATAAGTTTGGCGAGATGCTTAGGTATGAATGATTTTATTTTGGCAAACTCAATTAAAATTTGATCCTTAACAATTTATAAGAATGAACTTGTAATATTCCTACCAAGAAACTACGAACAAATGCAGAGCATAATCTGATTGAAAGATTTGTTTAATGTTTGAGAAATGCAGTAATTGTATGATTAAGCTAATATACTTTATACTTGATCTTGTAAACCTGTTCCCTTCATTAAATTCAATTGACATTCAAATTACTTTTTTTCTCTTTCTAAAAACTAGTCAATTTTGTATTTTAGTGATACTAAAACTCTTAAAAACCTCAATAAGCTTTTGTTGGCAGGAACTAAAATAGAGAAGGTTACTTGGCATAGCACTAACCACTTCTTTAGTAGACTTCAGTCTTGTATCTCGGTCATTCTTCTATGGGTGTATCACCCAGGTCACCTTTTATTCGTTGCCATTTCACCCAGGTTACTATCTGCCTTGGCTGTACTGCACTGTATCCACCTTTTCCTGTAACCATAAAACACACAATTTACCTTCATCTGTGGCCATATAACGGTATACACACATCCCTATGGGTTATGTTTCCACTTAACTACTGTGACAATGTCAGGCCGTCTTCACCTTTTCAAGAGATCGTATCATACATATACTGTACATATACTATTTCCACTTTTGCCCATTGCCATATTTTGCAGTATCTGTTTTACCCTGGGGCCATATCACAGTATCCATCTTCCTCATGGCCATATCACAGTATCCATCTTCCTCATGGCCATATCACTGTCTCAGCCTTACTACTTCCTTGGTTTCTGCCTTCACCTTGGTTCTCCTTTCCACCCTTCCTCGCCGTCCCCTCTTTCCCTTCCCACCCTTCCTCATTGGCCACATTTTTCCAGTTTAGATTTATTTCTGTTTAGAACAACTCTTTGCGCTCTGTTTTAACTATTGAGAACTCGACTTCAAAAAGGCCATGACTGCTTTGGGAGGAGTTCAAATCAGAGCAAGACAATTCATTCCAGAAATACTGTAACATTATCAATAGAAAAGACAGTCCTCAAGACTAATGCTGCAAACCACAAAACAGGGCTGATCTTGGAGGCCCTTAGCACTTTCACATTCTGATGATGCTAATATGCGTCATCGGATTGATATTCACAAAAGTTTGTATATTCATCACTGTTGTGCATAATCAATTTCAAATACTGTGTATACTTTTTTTCATCTTTTCTCTAGAGTTTATTTGCAAACTTTCTGACCTGCCAAGTGCCCAATGTTTACATTCTGGAATGTGCGGAGAGAAGCATCAATTATTATAAATACATACTTTTGTTTTTGCATTTGTTCTCTAAACAATTTATTTGGAAACATTTTGGCACCAAATTTATAGCTATAAACCAATAGATAAGAAAACGTGAAATAATTATAAAAAATCTCCTCGCCAAGCGGCCCGTGAACAGCGCGGAGAGCCCAGAATGTTTATGCTTGGGAATATTGGGGATTGATCAGACCACCAATATATCAGGTATTTTAGCATTTTGGAAGATGTTAATCCAAACTATTTTATTAAAAAATCTAGTGTAACACTTACAAGGGGCAACTGCTTTAAACTCAAGGATCAGTAATATAGGACAAAATGGGAAATTCTTTATCAACAGGATAATAAACCTATGGGTTGAACAGCAGAATATACAAATACAGTATTTGGCATGATTTTGTCTTCGTAAACTTGGCTTCATTCTCAACTCTTAATCGTGGATCCTGGGTTATTCACAGGCAGGGCAGCAATGGTTGGGCATGATTCCTTTTACCTAATGCCTCTGGTTATCTAGCAGTAAATAGGTACCTGGGAGATGCACAACTGTTGTGGGGTTGCATCTGGGGGAAGGTTAGTAGTTTGACCTTGGAGTGGAGAGTGCCTCGATACAAACCTTGAGTATGTATACATAGGCTACCTGTTGCCAACAAAACAAATTATAATATTTCTTTTATTAGGATGGCGAAGATGGAAGTCAATCCTCTTTATCCTCTGGTGGTCCCATGGTGGACCTCATGAAGCAATTATCACGTACAGAAGAAGAACTAGAAAAAATAAAGGTTAGTCCTGTGGATAATTTAAAAGTGGATTTTTTATATTTTCACCCCAGCTTTTACACTTGAAGCTACTTATTGTGATCAGGTATTTGTGTTGAGGTGGTTGTTGTTGTTATTGATGTTGTCGTCCTCGTTGCTGCTGATATAAAGTAGTTTCTTCTGTACTGTATTTGGATACTTGTGTATTCCTATAGAATAATTTTGTTTAAACTGTGTTGTCCTCGAGCAGCACAGTGATGTCTGATTTACATGCATAGGTTTATGGTTTGATTTATTTATGAAAATACATTAACTGTAATATTTATTTGTCCTGTCACTGTTTTGAATAGTTAGTGGTGGTATTACATATTTATGTAAATTTAAATACTATTTTCAGTGCATGTAAAATAGTTTTGCAATTAGTGTACTGTAACTGTCCTAATATTGGCGTAAAAGAATGTGTAGTTCGCCAGTGATGGAGTACTACATCATTATTGTCTTTAGCTTTAAGTACCCATTGTCAATGGTTTTTATATAATTTTCCCAGTAAGCTTTTATAGTAATTGGCTGATCACAGTAAGCAGTTTTACTAGTAATACTCTTTGTGGTGGTTTTATTTTTCATAGGTGTTGAAACTTTATGCACGCATCACCAGTTTTATCCTGCAGTTATGCAATCTGTAACACAAAAGACATTGACTATTTGTGAGTGGGGTTAAGGTACAACAGCTGCCATTTGTGATGGTATCTAATTCACATTTTGTTTTGAATTTAAATTTTTATTCACCATACACACGTTTTTGATTGTAGTCATATTCACGAGACAATATTGCACCTGTATTTATTCATTTCTAAAAAAACTGTATAGAAGTTTTGTATGCAAGTCTTTTGTTATGTTTGAGAAGGTTAATTGCATTTATATACTAAGTTATGGTAAATGTTATGAAATAGTATACAAACCTATCATGTAAATACAGTGAATTCCTGTTTGAACTGAATTTGGTCTGCCAAAAAGCTAGATGCCCTGAAAGGATCATATTTTTATAATCATTGTCATCAGTTGCACTGGAGATTAACGGACGACTTCGGGTGGAACGAGTCTACATGTACTCTACATAATTTCTGTCCACCAATTACTACATAAAAACATGAATTAAAAAGAATTTCTATAAATTTAGTTAACAAATCCCCCCCTTCCCCTCGTGTAATTTTTTGTATCAATGTGGGGAAAAATGTGATACTGTATATCATCAATGCATAATTTTTTGGAAATTTGCAAACACACAATTGTATAAATTTTCCTGCAGATGAGCTCAGCATGATTATCCTTTAGAGTGGAAGTTCACTGTAAAGCTAATTTGTTTTTGTACTGCATGCACTAAATATTAGTAATGTGCTTATTCCCAAGAAAGGTCTTGATTGAAAATGTGCAGAATTAATAACACTGGCTCTTGTCTGAAAATAGCATTAAGTGTATTAACTAGTGAATAACAATTAAGGTTAAGTTGGTTGGCCAAGTATGAAGTGTCTTTGGGGTAAAAATGTGTGTTCCCGTTGACGTTACAGTATTTTATTAAATCTTGCTGCAATTTCGTGTACAGTAGTTGGCAAGATTTTCTTGAACCTGACAATACAGTATGTTTTGGAGAAATTATTTATCCTTCTTTGTTGCTTTCTTTTACTCTTATTCACTTGAATTTTTCAACAAATTTTAATTTGCCATACAATCTTCTCATGCTTACTTAATTTAACAGCACTTAGGGACATCACAAATGTAGTTGTCAGAGGGATGAATGCAATGCTTTGGCATTCATTCTAATATTTGATGTTTGGATTTACTGTATATGTAAGGTAGGTGTCGGTATTACTGCTGGGCTGAGATACTTTTTAGGGGTTAGATTTTGAAAAGTAACTTTTGAGAATGGGGCTGTGGCATAAATAATTTAATTTCAATAGCTAGGCATACTGTATAGCTGTTTGTATGTTTCGTAGTCATTTCAGATGTTTGACATCGGTTGATTTGATACTGGTTGCAATGTTTTGTCTATCGCATCTTTACTTGATATTTATATTTTTCTCTCTTGGTATACAGGGTACCATGACAGTTTTGCGATTAAACAGCTGAACAAGGCTATGGTTGGTACAAGTACTTCAGCAGATATTTTTTTATCATGCTTGGTATTTCAATAATGTTGGACTTTGATTTTGAATGATTGAATTATGGCAATAATGTACGGATAGGGGGATGGGGGAACTGGCAAAAGGAATGATTTGGATAAATGTCTGCGGAATGTGCAACGTTTAATTCCCATTGTCCAGGACAAGAAGCTTATGCTTATATCCAGGTCCCTCAAGGAAAATTTATATACTGATCATTCCCAAAATGCAGTCCACAACAGTTGGCCAACTCCTGAGGTGCCTATTTACTGTTAGGTGAATAGAGGCATCAGGTGAAAGGCAAAGTACCCAACCATTTGTTCTACCAGGGGTTGAAACATGGGATAATTGATTGTGAGTGGACTGTACACCAGTGTACTACAGGATCTCTGGATTACTTGTGGCAAAGCCAACTTCAATTGATGGATAGAAGGTTAGGGTTAGGGAGGGAGCCGAGCGGACAGCACACTGGACGTGTGATCCTGGGTTCGATCCCAGGCGCCGGCGAGAAACAATGGGCAGTTTCTTTCACCCTATGCCCCTGTTACCTAGCAGTAAAAATAGGTACCTGGGTGTTAGTCAGTTGTCATGGGCTGCTTCCTGGGGGTGGAGGCCTGGTCGAGGACCAGGCCGCGGGGACACTAAAGCCCCGAAATCATCTCAAGATATAACCTCAAGATATATAGGGTTTAGAAACGAGGCTAAAATGTTATCTTTGGTTAGTTCGATAAATGTCTTGTGCTTGTCCTAGGATATATGCAATGGTCTTATAGGTTATAAAATCTCAAACCATGAGCTTTTGGGGTTTCCTTAGATTTTTTTAATCGGTCTTCAAAGGGTAGTAGGTCCCCCCCCCCCCCCTGTGCTTGAATATCTCGGCTAATTCAGGTTTTTAGTTAAGATTATTGCTTATGTGTCACATTGTTTGCTTATAAATATCTCACGATTAAATAAGATTAAAGCTGTGTATCCAAAATGAGAAACTATTGTACAATTTGGTAAGGTTGATATTGGTCTGGCTTGTAACCGACAGTGTCGTCTCCACTTTCATCGGCTAGTTGCTGTTTTTTTCAAGGATATCAGGGAAGGCTTGGAGTTAGATTTATTGTGTAGTAAAATAGTGCTGTAATACTTGAGGCTTGTGCAAAAAGTCATTGGCGTAATTTGTCGACCCAGAAATGCTGGTTCGAATCACAGGATTGCTCTAATTCTTGATTGATATGTCATTTGATCGTGATTGAATAGTGTGTTCTTGAGGCTTGGTTGTGAATTGAGTGTTTTAGAGGATTTGCCTGCTTTTTGTTACTATGTTGTTCTCTTGCAGTTTGTGCTGTTCCAATCATCAGGTATACTTGTAATGTTTATTTCTATTTCTCCACTTCAGCTCATTATTGTTTTTGATCTCGTTTAGTTTTAATTTTCAAGTTTGTCCCACACCGCACCCAAAACACACTACATATTAGTGGCTTTAGGAATCGTACTTGCTTTCCCAATGAATTGTACAATCTGCTTGTATTCTATGCAAGTAAGTTTGCCTAAATAACAAATTATTATTGTACAAGTAGCCACTGAACAAAATTAGGTATAGACTTTGGGTAGTTAACTACCTGCCTGTGATGCTAGGAACTTATTTGGAAGGGTTCTTCAAATTGAGAGAACTGTTAAATTGATGCCATTGGCTGTGATTCTTTTCTTAATCCCAATGTATGGCAAATGGTCTTAAATATATTTTTAAATGTTCCCTTTTATCTGATTAAACATTTGTTCATAGTTCTAGGCATTGTTTTGGCATTGTTTCTATCATTTCTTTAGAAATTATCTAAGATTCTAAATTTCTCGGTCATGGATTTTCTCGATTCAGGTGTGTTGTAAACCATGGGTTAAGTTAATTATGTGGTAACTTCTTGTGCAACATGTACCACCCATGCTGCCTAAGTCTCTTTTATAAATAAATATTTGTTAATTTGTTGATTTTTTTCTATACTATTGTCAGATTATTGCAGACAGCTTTAATAAGTGCTTATGGAGGCTTCACTGAGCATAGTTTCTATTGTTTGCTTGATAATGTTAAATAAATGTTTAGTTTTAGGTTACATTAGCAATTATTCAAGAGGTTAGTGAAGAATTACACTTCTGACTGGAAGATGAGCACAGCATAGAGGAAAGCAGTGGATGTAACGTATTGCTGTGTCGGTTATAATCACGACTGGAAACTGATGTCTAAGATGGGGTGGATATTGGCAATGATAGTGAGGGTAGGGGAAAGGAATAAGAAACAGAGGAGACAAGTTGGGGGATGAAGCTTGGAGTGGTTCATCCCAGCACTAGAAGGGGTAAGAAAGGAATGTAGTCCTTGTGCAACAAGTTAAAAATGAATTATCCCATCCTATAGTGACCAAAGGACCAGTTAAATACAGAGTGGGCATCATCACAATGCAGTTAATGGGTAGTCTGCTTAGAGTACAGTACTCTTTCAAAATAAAGATGTAAAAATATCCGGTGAAATATTTTGGAGTATCTTTGACAAGCTGCCAGTTTCCTACTCCCATTGAGGTCACTATGGAAGGTGGCCCTTGGGTATATTCAGGTAAAGTATTCTTAACATGGTTAAAATGTCCACAAAGGGTTCAGAACACTGCATATTGACAGGTTGAAGCCCCATGGGCAAACTTACAGCTAGTATTGCACTGGTGTAGAGAGAAAACAGGCTTGCAGACCTGACACTTCCAAGGACAACAGAGATTGGGAGGGTGAAACTATCAAAAGTAATCATTGTAATACAGGAGGAGGGGGGGTAGCACTTACCATGAGAAGGGGGAGGGGTGAATGTGTTCACATTAATGTGTTTTTTTTTTTTAACTCGTAACC